AACCGAAACCGAAACCGAAAATCAGGTACAGCATCGGACCGTAACCGTAAACGGACCGAAATTTCATTTCGGTCCGAGTCCCTGATCAGATCTAATATCTTTTTCTTTTTCTCTCTTGTGTGCATTCATTTTATAGTTTTTTCTTAAGAAAACGCGCACTTAAATTTGATGTTACGCGCGAGATAAACAAAACCTTCTTACATACCGTGATAAATATTAAAAAAATTTTTGAATATCAATGAAATAATTGAAATTCATTAAGCTATTATTGTAACATTTAAATTGCTACATAAAAGTGGTCAAAATAGTTTTTATGTCGTAGCAAGAGAGAATATACCGCGACATATATTTATTTTCCATATAAAATATTTATTAGTGTACCGATCGCAGAAATTGCACATATAAAATTTGTTTTAAATGTTTATGAAGAAGTTTAACCAACTAAAATTTATTAGTCTAAGTTAATAAAACATTTATATTGTTACATTAATCAGGATATTCTTAATGATACAAGTGCAGCGACACATGTCAAATGTTCTCACATTATAAACACTTATCTACTCATATAATAACGATGTGAATGCAAGTTTGCTTTTCATTTAATATATATAAATTGTAAAATCTATTAGAGTGTAACATATAATATGTAAACATATAATATGGATTATGTAATGTGTTTTTTTAACTTTATATTTAACTAAACTTTTATTTATTTTATTTTATAATTTACATATTTAATGAATACAGAATTCAATTTGATAAATGACAATTATAAATGTTTAATAACTTTCCATTAGATGTCAAAAAAATTTGAGATAGCTAATATAATTGTTATAAATATTTGTGTATGTCATATTTATAATAATAAACACTAAAAACATAAAATAAGCGTACCTGCAGAATATAAATTACGTTAAAAATAGGTATCTCGTATGTATGCAGTTGGCATTATAATTATACATCTCGCGTTCAATTCAACCCATCCTTTAAAATATTTAAGTCACGCAAAAACGTTACGCTATATCATTAAAGTAGTCTTGAAGCATATGTTGCAGACAAAAGTGTAATTAAAGTTACAAAAGGGTATGGCAAGTAAAATTGTCATTTTTTGTATATTTGTACTCTAATGTCAACATTGCCAATGCTATTTTTTTAACAGTTAAGAAAATAACTACTCTCCAATCCAACTATATGTATAAAAGTACGTGAAAAATATAAAATGTATTCAAATTTTATATTTAAAATGTATAATTTATATAAATATAATTTGAAATAGCGTAATTTTCAAAAGAGCAAAAAAATAATTATTTTATACGAAAAGAATTAAACTGCTATTATTACAAGTAATATAAAATCTCAAAGACATAGAAATATTGTAGCAGTAAAGCACTTATTTCGATAATAACGTAATAATTTTGTTTAACAATTGAGTACACACAGAAATTTAAGCAACCAAATCTTCGCAGTAAGTGCAGACTTGTGTGAGCTGTTTTACAGTAAATTTTTAACGTACACCGCGTGGACCCTCCGTAGTTCAGGATCCCTCTGTTAGTCCCGCAAGGCTTCGAGATTTTGGTCGATCGAATAAACGAATAAAGTCGCTTCGTGCTATATATGATCCTCAGACGCCAATGAAACTCACTCATATAAAAAAATTGGCTTTTTATTGTACATACATAATACATTATTCTATAACTTATTTAGCATCTTAGATCATTATAAATAAAAGACCGTAACAATTTTTTCTTGCAACATATTTATTAACAATAGTTAAATATTCATCTCAGAGATATAACACTTTAGTAATGAATTATACATAAAGTGTTAAAATTAATTCCATTACTTATAAGACCGCTTATTTACTTTTTTATTCTATAATCGATGAGTTGTTCACTTCAAATGGATATCATAGGACAGAAACGAATGGATAAAAATATTGTCTGGAACACATCATCGGAACACCTTATCAATGCGTTTTAGTTTGAAAAAAATATAAAGAATAGAAAAGAGCGGTAAAAGACAGATACGGGACGCTGAGATACGAAGAATATTGTTAAGAAAGAAAGAGAGAGAAAAACAGAATTGTAGGCGGCATGAAGAGAAAGGGGGTGGTTGGATAGATAGGGCGGAGGGACACTGCGAGTTTGGCGGCAGTCGTTTTCCGAGGGATGTTGGGCGGAAGGTTCCCGCGGGGCCTGTGTTATCGCCTCGGCAGGATGACCAGCCCGCGGTATCAAATATTAAACCTACTTGCACCGGCAGCCTATCCTCGACAAGATATCCAAACCTTCCCTGTCCGCCCCCGCGTTCACCG